AGTAAACATAGAGCTACCATATGACCCTGAAATTCTACTCCTAGATATAAATATATCTGAGAAATAAAACCATAAGTTGATGCAAAAACTTGTATGTGTGTTCATAACAGCATTTTTCTTAATAGTCAAAAGGTAGAAGGAATTGAAATGTCTGTCAACTGATGAATGATTATACACGATACAGTATATCTATACAATGGAATGTTATTTGGCAATAAAAAATGAGATACTGATACATGTTACAATATGGATTACCCTTAAATAGTCTATGCTAAGTCAAAGAAGCCAGTAACAAAAGACCACATAGTATGATTATTTTCATAGGAAATGTCCAGAATTGGCAAACCCTATAGAGACAGAAAGTAAATGGCTAGCTGCTTAGGGTTGAAGGAAGGCTGGGATGAGGACTAGCTGCCAATGGATTTAGTGTTTCTTTGGGAGTAAAAAAAAAGTTTCAAACTTAGATTGTAGTGATGGTTGCACAACTCTGTGAATTTACTAAAAACCACTAAATGGTACACTTTAAATGGGTGAATTTTATGATCTATGAATTATGTCTTAAAGTAAGAAGAGAATAGGTGCCTTTTGGGTACAATATAATCTATATGATTCTCTTCTTATACGCATCTGAAATTTCCAAAATATAAGTTAAAAAAATATGTACTTCATGGCATCCATTAAGAATATCATGTGTGTCTTCTTCAACCCAGTAATGTGGTAAGTTGTAGTGACAGATTTCCTAGTGGTGAGCTGTTCTTGCATACCTGAAATAAACCTCCCTTTTTGGTGATGATCTACTGGTCTTTTAATACACTGAAAAATCAACTTGCTAATATTTTCTTTAGGATTATTGCATATGTATTTTAAGTGGTATAGGTTTGTAGTCTGCTCTATCAATATGGCAATGCTGCTGGTTTTCAATGTCTCCTTTTCTAAAACCTCTGATTTTCTTTTGTTGTTATCGTTAGGCAAAAGACTACACAGGATAAATACTGTTTCTTTGCAGCTATGTGTGGCCATGGCAATAAGCTCTTGATTATAAGATACAGGCTGGAGCTTCATGTGGCAGCTTCTGGAAACCTTCCTTCATAGAGAGTTGGCACCTGGCCTTTGTACCCCACTTTTTTCCCCTTCATCCCTTTCCCCATCCCACTGCCCAGAATGTAGATGAGATAGCTGGAGCTAGGTGCTACTATCCTAGACCATGAAGACAAGGGACACACCCTAGGAAAGGTGGCACAGTGAGCTGAAGTAGCCTACAGTATCACTAAGGACTTCAAGGACTGCCATGCCAGTTCTGGACTACCCACCTGTGGACTTCTATCTAAGTCTTCTTTAAGCCACCCTTACTTTGAATCTCAACTTACAGCTAAACATAAATCCAATTGATAGGTCAGGTTTTGATACGAGGGCTATGCCAGCTTCACACAATAAACTGGAAAGCTTTTCATCTTTCTCTACAGCCTGCAACAGTAGCAGAGGAGCTATCTGATCCCTGAAGGTTTGACAGAAACCTCCTGTAAAACCGTCTGGGTCCGGCACCTTTTTAGTGCTATTTCTTCGACAATTTTTTCCAATTTCTTCCACAGGCTAACATTTTATCCAGGTAGTTTACCTTTTCCAGAGTCACTGTGCATTTTAATGAGGTTAGCAAACTTGTTAACAGGGAAGGTCCATACTGTAGTTCTATAATTTTCATCAGGCGTTGCTTTTTTATCTGAAGTTGCTCCTAGGGTTATATGTTTGTTTTTCTCTCTTTGTATTTTGTTCAATTAAAGATCTGCCAACTGAAGTCATCTTCTCAAGTACCAACTCACAGACAATTAATTTTCCAGTGTTTTGCTTTCAGTTAATTCTTGCTTTTATCATTATTTGTTCTTCTTGAATCTGTTCTTTTAGAAGTTTAATCTGAATGTCTAACTTATTAGTTTTCATTCTCTCTGGTGCAACATAAACACATTTGACTAGGAATTGTCCTCTGGTTGCAATGCTGGCTAAACTGCAAAGCTTTCGTTATAAGTGTATTCATTTTCACTAGAGTTTTGGTTTTCTCCTTGAAGTACATCACAAAATTTACAAGTCACTATATTAAATTTGATTTTTCTTGTGGTGTTAATTTCTAATCTTACTGTACTGTAACACAGTAGATTATGTGGCTTGGGCAATTCCTACTTAGAATTTTATTGAGATTTTCTTTGTTGCTATACATGTAATTGATTTTTACAGTTTCCATGGATTAAAAAAGATGTATTTGCTATAAGATATAAAAGAAAATGGTGGTGAAAATACACTCACTTCTTAAGCTTGTCTTATCTTTTTAAATGTATTTTTGTTTTTTGTTTTGAGACAGAGTCTCATCCTGTCACCCACACTGGAGTATTGTGGCATGATCTTGGCTCACTGCAACCTCTGCCTCCGCGGTTCAAGAGATTCTCATGCCTCAGCCTCCCAAGCATCTGGAATAGCAAGTATGTGCTACCATGCCTGGCTAATTTTTGTATGTAAGTAGAGATGGGGTTTTGCCATGTTGGCCAGGCTGGTCTCAAACTCCTGGCCTCAAATGATCTGTCTGCCCTGGCTTCCCAAAATGCTGGGATTACAGGAGTGAGCCTCTGCGCCCAGTCATGTATGGGATTTTGAATCTGACATTGAACTTGTGTTTTCTTAACACATATTGGTGTTGAAAATTGTTTTAAAAGAAAAATGAATATTTAAGATTTTAGTTTTTTGCTCCTTTCTCTCACCTTTCTGCAGCTAAGCATGGGTGTACCATTTTTTGGTGTATCATGCGGCAGGGTATCTGGGCTCCTGGCCCAGCCTCCCTAGGTGGCCCCATCAGAGGCTATGCATCTGTAGACAGAAAAGCTGGTCCCCTTCCTTTCACTTAAGACCCAGAGGTTGTGGTCTAGTTCTTGAAGGTCTAGTCCTTGACCCAGGTGGGAGACAGTGACCCCTGAGAAAGGATGTGACCACACTCTACTTTATGGGGCCTTTGCTGACCAAACCCTACCTCTCAATAATGCTTTTCTTTTGAGTTGCTTTTTCCTTAAGTCTTCATGCTCAGCCTCCTACCACAGCTGGACATTTGCAAAGGGAACCAGAAACATCTTTGGGGGAAATGACAGTTGATGCAGATGACAGGTAAACCATAACCTTTTGGTATTATCCTGACCCTTGGTCCTGATCAAGCTGGCACTCCCCAGAATCAGGCAAGATCTTACAGATATAGGCACAAATTCTGTCTTCTAAGTACTTTAAATACTTTTCTAAGTACTTAAAACCTCCACAGCTTATGTCTTTTGTATGTTATTCACAAGACTGTAAAGAGACTGGCCGAGGTTGGAGATGAAAAGCCCTACAAAGTTGGAATCCTGCTGACCTGGATGGAGGTCCATCCAAGGAATTCCCATCTTACCAGTGACTTTCACAGAAACGCACAGTAAAGTACAGGGGGACCTTGCTGAGTTTTAATTCCTCAGTCTGCCTTTCCCCATCTTTTGAGTGATATACTCTAATTTGACTGCATTTTTGTGTGAGTATAGATGGATCCGCTATGATTCTAAAAATTAGGTGCCCTTCTGTTTCTTAGTAATGTCACATTCTCTGACCACTGTAGCCACTTAAGATAGTCTCAAATATAAATAGATTTCAGTGGCCACAGTGGAGAAGATGCTGCCCCAGGAGGCATATTCTCACCTCCACCTCCTAGACTCACATGTATGATTTTTTTCTCTCTCTACCAAGTGGCTAGTTTTGACAGACTTTAGGTTGCAGAATTATTTATATTCAAAAGAAGTCCTCACCTTCAGAGAGCATTTTCCTGGGCAATTGTTCTGGTTTGTAAGTTTTTAATGTCTACTCTTATTTGGAGTCCCAAAATGAGTTAGCTTGGCTAGATCTCACAATGAAAACTGATTTCTTCGCATAAAACTTTATTCTACCTTTTTGAAAACCAGCTGGAAATGATGAATGGTGGCTTCAATAGTAATGGTTCACGAAGAACTGATTGTGTCCCCATCAATGAGGTCATACCCATGGCAGAGCAATGGCTATTTACTCTGTCTTGGGGTTGTAGTAAGCTGGGGGAATATCAGGCCAAGAATCAACAGAACCACGTGGCTTAGGCAGGTCACAGTTTCTCTGTGCCTCAGCTCGCTCAGCTGTGAGATGGGAATAACAAACACCCCTTAGAAGGTATTGTGAGGTCATTCACCAAAGGACATTTCTGTGCTTTGAATGGGTCTGGGACATACCCTGGTATTTTTACTCTACAAAGAAGAAATCAGTCCTAGAATATAATTAGACCGGACTTTCTGGTCCTTTTAATCACACCGCCTTCCTAAACTGGATCCAGCCGCAAATGATTGCCTTAGTTTCAGGACTTCATTTTCGTTTGACTCAGCTGATCAAAACCAAGACCATTCTGAGCCAGGAGAATAGGGTCTGGAGGCAGGGAAGCTAAGGCCGATTCACACCAACTTCTTAGAACTAAATCAAAAGGAAAACACCAACTTTCCACACCCAAGTAACAACAGGACCAGAGGCTACTCCCTTTGCAACTCCCTTTTTTCTGCCTGGCAGATAAGAAACTATTAAGTACCTCTGATTGGTCCCCTCCCACAGCCAATGAGGCTATTCACAGGCCAAGATTTCATTTGCATGGGAGTATAACTTTGCAACTTCAGCCTCTGATTGGTTGCTTTCTGCAACTAATTAGACATATACAGGGTATAACTTTCTAACTTTGCTTCAGCCTCTGGTTGGTCCCCTCCTGCAACCAATCAGACTGATCATGGGCCACTACTTCTTTTACAAAGGGTGTACACCAAGTAGCCAATGGGAAACCTTTAGAGGGTATTTAAACCCCAGAAAATTCTGTAACATGGCCCTTGAGCCTCACAGGCTGCTCCCATCCTGTGGAGTGTACTTTCATTTTCAATAAATCTCTGATTTTGTTGCTTCATTCTTTCCTTGCTTTGTGTGTTTTGTCCAATTCTTTGTTCAAGAACGCCAGAATGACTGGTAACAATTCAAACTATGAAAAAGGTAACAGAGTCCTTGGCACTTCTCAACAGGTGGTGACACAGCTAATAACGCGCAGTGCATACATGGGAGTAAATGCATAGAAAAGCCTGTCGATGACACGACAAAGTTAAACCCAAATGAAGCAAGGTGAGCGGTGCAAGTAAAACTGCACCACGTTAAAGACTGCTTGCCTGGGATGGAGCAGTGGGGAGGTGCGCAGAGGCATGGACAAGGGCCTGGCAAAATGGATTCCTTTCCCTGGGCTGCTAATGCTACTAATAGTTCCCTCCTGTTATAGGGTCGCTATAACAAGGTAACGTACAGCACTTGGAAGACGGCCTGATCCAGAATAACACTAATGTTCACATGGCTGCGACTCTCAGACCAAAATCAACAGCTGGTATCTACTGAAACCAGCAAGGCGAAACCACGGGAACGGCGCTCCTTTGAGTAGAGCAACGCACATCACACCCCATCACATCACATCCTCCCTAGCGGGAGGCTCTGGCCTCACCGGAGCGGCACTTCCCGGAAGAGCCAAGGATATTCCGGGACTAGCACGGGACGGCGGCCCAGACCCCCTGGCGCCCAGCCGGCCGCCCTGTTGCAGCTCTCCCGCCAAGACATGCGCCTAGCGGCAGGGATTCCGCGGTCACCATTTATTCTTGGCGCTAAGCTGCCGCTTCTCATTTCTATCACCACCGAGCAACGCAGACCCCGCCGTTGCCTTCCACTCTGGGCCAGCCGCTCCAGCAGCGACGGGGGCGCCAGGTTGTGCGGGGACTGCACCACCCGGCCCGAGGCTTTTGAAGCCACGCTTGGGCTCGGGGGGTGGGCAGGACCTGCCCCGTGCAACTGCCGCGCACGCAAGCTCCGCGCGAGGCCCGGGCGCCCAAGCGGGGATTCCCACTCTCGTCACCAGCTCCAGCGTGGGGCCCCCAGGCTGTGGAGCCCAAATTCCAGCCGCCCGGCAGCGCCTGGACGAGCCCGAATCTCACCGCGCTGGAGATCCGCCTCCTCCCGCCCGGGCGAGGGCGCCGTCCTCCCTCGGAGCTGCGCAGGCGCGTCCCCGCCCTCCGGTCACGTGCTACAGCGCTCGGCCACGCGACCACGCCTCCCGCCGGAGTCTGGGAAAAGGCCGCCCTGTTCCAGAACGGGAAGCAGCGACAGGAAGGAACTGGGTGCACTGGCGTCTGCCGCCGCCCTGAATTACCGTTAGCATGTGGCGGCAAGCTCAGCCCCCCTTTCTTAAACATAAGGTAATTCTGATTCAGACACAGGAATTACGGTGAGGGTAGAAACGGACTGGAAGGTTCGTTCCCCTTGCCCACCAAGACTCCAGAGCAGGGGGTTCCAGATGCCTACTCTCCATGAAGCCCTGGGCTTTCCGTACCTCCCTGCTTTTCCTGTGAACTCGCTGCACAGCTGAGCCAGAATGTGTTCTTACCAAAACGGGCATTTCCCAAAAGACAACACTGTTTTAGATTCATTGTGCACAGCCTCTTTCTTTCGTCTCCCCTTCCTTTCCTCGCATCTTGCTTTAATTGGATAATTTGACAACTCTGAGCTGCTGATAGCGGACACCCCCAACTCCCGCAAGCCTGGTAGAGTGGGACAGTTGCAGCCCAAGGTAGACAAACATCTGAGTATTGCTTAGTAATAGATCATAAAGAGGTCAGACCAAGAAATGGAAGGAAGTGGCCGGCCTGAGGCCTTTGTTCCAGCCACTCAGGATTGAATGAAGTGATAAAGGTAGCCACGTTGTCTGGCAGTGCTTCAGGTAATAATTCTTCACTAAGGAAAGCAGCCATCATATTTATATCCACAAATCAGTTTATTAAAGACATATAGCAATATGTATCCCAAACCTTTTTCAAAATTGTCATTAGTTTTTAAAATTCATTATTTTCATCTCATTAAAAATGGTTTCTTCCTTTAAAATTTCCCAGAAAGTGTGGCTTCCGTTTTCTGCTGCTCAGTTTAAACACATCATCAAAGATAGATAATGAGTAATGTCATGTGGGCATAAAAGGAGATTTATACACCAGAAATGAATTTTCTGGGAACCAAGTTTCAAGTGACTCAGATAAGCTTTACTAATTTCACGGGTGAAGCCACTGGATAAAGCAGTACCTAAATCAGGCTTGTTTACCCTTGGCATTATGTCCCAAAACACGGTTTCAGGTCCATGGAAATAAATACAGCTTGGGAGGCCTTCAGCCTGAGCCTGTTTTGCCCAAGACCATCCAGACTGAAAAGTACAAAGGAAGGCTAGTACGTGTGCAAAGCAACGTGGCTTATTTTAGGGTCGTATTAATTGTGGGCCAACAAAACAGTGGCAGGATTTCAAGAAAGAAATATATTGCAACAGACCATATCCTTCGAACCACAAAGGGAGACTGAGAAAATGCTGGCTCAAAACACAACTTCCTTAGCTGGCTCAGAGGCAGACCAAGTTCATCAAGTCAAGGACCTTCTCCTGCTACCACCTTTGGGTAGAGGGGCCTTCACCAACCTGCCCTGCACACAGGTCTCCAGCTGTTCAGAACCTACTCAGTAACAACAGGAGCAAACATACATGTTTCCCCCTTATGTAACTTTGCATTTAAATATATTCTGGGAAACTGCTGGGCACAGCGGCTCCCACCTGTAATCTCAGCACTTTGCGAGGCCAAGATGGGAGCATCACTTGAGTCTAGGAGTTCAACACCAGCCTGGGCAACATAGGGAGAACCTGTCTACAAAAAATTTAAAAATTACACTGAGTGTGGTGGCACGCACCTGTGGTCTCAGCTACTCGGGAGGCTGAGGGGAGGGATTGCTTGAGCCAGGGAAGTCGAGGCTGCAGTGAGCTGTGATCTCACCACTGTGTTTAGCCTGGGCGACAAAGGGAAAACCCTGTCTCTCTTTATATGTTCAGGGAAACGGCAGCATGAGATTTTGTGCCAGTTCTTGAGACTTCAGAAACACTTCAGCACCAGCCAAATACCCCCATGAGAGCAAGGAAAACTCTTTTCCGGTTGCCTGCAAATTTTAAAGTTATAATGAAAATGTTATAAAAGTAACTACAGAATAGAGTGGGGGTGGAGGGGAGTCACACATTTCCAGTGGCTAGCACTCTGCCCTGTGCCCCCGACCTCGGAGAGTATCTACAAACTTCCCACCCGTCGAGTGTGCTTGCAGCCGTCCTGGATGTCAACGGGCCACAGACCCTTTGCTGTGGGGAGTCCCAGCCACATACGTTGGCAACTTGGAGAGAGATTTCCATTTGTCCCCATGATCCCACTTTCCAGCAAAGCTCAAACTGTTGTCACAGTTGTTTCACTGTACCTAAAAAGGAACAGTTAACGCAGGAGCCACAGTCAGTGTTTTCTGTGAAATGGTCTTGCAAATAGCATTAAGAAATCTTGTTGCATTTCAAAGAAAAGGTCTGATTAGAGGCGCCTGTTGGAAGCAGAAGCCTCAAAGAAGTTAACTTGCGGGTCCCCTTCGTTTCAGACACGGAATAATCACAAACACAAGTCTATGCTGCTCGCTGGAGCTCCCTTAGGATTGGGATAAAGCTGGATTTCCAGGTGCCGCTCCGTTTTCCCTGCCTCCCTCCCTCTGGGCTATGTCCTGCAGAGCTTCAGCGGGAAGTTCTCCGTGATGAGGTGGTCAGGGTGAAGATGCACCACGATGTTAACCTCAAATTCTGAGAAAAGAGACAGTGGGTTTATGCTGATACCGAGCAGTGAGATCCCATGCCGCCGCCAAGGCAGTCGCAGTAAGTTCTAATGGAGAGGGAGTGCCGGCCCGGGGGGGTTTCATTGCTGTCCCCTCAGCGCCACCCAAGCTTTCGGCTAAACCAGTGGAGATGACCCTTCTGATGTCTGACTACCTCTGTCAGCTTTCTCTAAGTGAGGTTTTGTCCTCTCATCTTGGAACGTGAGTGATCAGCCTTCCTCAACTCCACTTTCCCTGTCCCTTTGCTTTCCTAGAGAGAACCTACTAGAACGCTTTCAAGTCATTTGTATTCCTTTGCCTTATTTTTACATTTCCTACAGTTCTTAATGATATAGCAGACCGTGAACCAGCCCGTAGCTGTCTGGGCCCATGTCCCTAACCCCCAGGAGAGAAACAATCTTCAGAAGCAGCAGTTTTGGCCGGGCATGGTGGCTCACACCTGTAACCCCAGCGCTTTGGGAGACTGAGGCAGGCGGATCATGAGGTCAAGAGATCAAGACCATCCTGACCAACATGGTGAAACTCCGTCTCTACTGAAAATACAAAAATTAGTTGGGTGCATGCCTGTTGTCCCAGCTACTCAGGAAGCTAAGGCAAGAGAATTCGCTTGAACCTGGGAGGCAGAGGTTGCAGTGAGCCGAGATCATGTCCCTGTACTCCAGCATGGTGACAAAGTGAGACTTCAATTTGAGGGAAAAAAAAAAAAAGCAGCAATTTATTGTTGCTTCATTGGATACTATTCATCCATCACCTTTCAGTAAACAGGATTCCTTCTCCACTGACTCTTCAGCTGCTATGGCTGAGCCTTGTTGATCAAAACAAAAGGGGTGTGTGTGGAGAGGAAGCGCCTGAAGACAAATAAGCACCATGTCCTTCCCCAGTGTGACGAGGGGTGGGGAGGACGTCATGTGGGCAGAGGGCCCTGTGCCAAGCCCCACACTGTGGCAGCTCAGCTGTGGAAGGGCCTTGGAGTCGGTGCCCAACCTGTGGCTGGGGGCCACAGGACAACATCCCCGTGTGGGGTATCCACCTCCGCCCCAACATCAGCCACGAGAAGAGTCAGCCACCAACAGTGCCCCCTTGTCCTTCCTCACTTTATTGTCACTACATTAGAGCCCTCTGGGCCCTTCCTGCCACCACTCCCTTCAAAGGATTCTCCACCCCTCTTGCCGTGTCCCCCGGAAGGGTAGTGGGTGTGGCTGGAGTGGACAGAGAGGGATGCCCAGTAGGCAGGAGAGGGAGCTGGCACGGGCTCTCCTTTTCAGCAGGAAAGCAGCTGCCTCTGAGCTGCCACGCTACCCAGGTGCTGCTTACAGCCCGAGTGAGCCAGCCTCGGGTCTGACCACGCATCTGAGGTAACTTGCACAAAGAGCTGGAGAAGAACACACGGAGGTGCTGCTCCTAATGTGATGCAGTGCTCACTCCTGACTTCCAGCCTAGACGCCCTGAGCCTTTCTGAATCACTGTCCCGTCCTACTGAGAAGGCCCAGTAACTTCCTACCAGGTCTCTGCTCTGCCTCCTCGTAGTGTGGGGTGATCTCCCAGTTCACATGATTCTTATTAAGATGGATGGACATTAAAATATTTACAGGAAGAGTTGAGAACATGAAAATGTTCATGATACGATGTTAAGGGGAAAGAGGCAGGATATAAAAGGGTGTCTGTGACCGAATTCAGATCCCGTGGTTAAAATATGACACACAGCTTCATGGACACTCACTAGAGGCAGCCTAGGCCGCGGGGCTCCAGGCCTTCCTGCTGCTGAACGCTCACTCTGGGGTTTGCGCAGTCCTGGACCTTCACTCAGAGCCACCCTGCCAGCATCCACGCCACCCCTGCTCACGTGGTGCTCACATGCGTTGAGTTTTCTTCATGGAGCTCGGCGTCACTGCCCTTGTCTACACTGATGTGCGTCTGTTTCCCCGCGTGACGCGGGAAGTTCCACGAGCACCAGGACTGCCTGTGTGTGTCCCTGTGCGGCACGGCAGCTCCCTAACGAGGTTTTGCTGAGTGGCCAAAGGGAGGCCGACTCTCAGCTTTGTCGCCCACAGAAGGCCCTGGTGCTGAGGGACCGAAGGGTGGCAGGCTCTGAGCTATGTGACCCACAGCAGGCCCTGGCACTGAGCGGCCCTTCCCATGGGCCCAGGAGGGCTGGGGGGGAGTGCCACTTACCCACTTTGAAGTTGGTGGTCTCCAGCGTAGGGCAGGTGAACAGCCTGGGGAAGACCATGTAGATGGGAACAGAGAGGCCCCTGCACACGTCCCCGTCGGCGATCTGAATGTTCTGAATCTCCGTGGCATCGCGGGCGTAGCCTTCTGCACACCCTGGGGAAGGGAGGCCACGTCATGCAGTCGGGGACAGCAGGGTGGCGGGGGCCTCATCAGCACTCCTAGTCAGCACCACCCCCTAGTCTGTTCCAAGGATCCTCCAGGGTTCCCTCACTGTCCTCGAACATGCGGCTACTGCCATGCACAGCCACGCTCTTACTTTTGCTTCCCCCGACATCCTCCTTTTTTTTTTTTAGAGTCAGGGTGATGATCTGCTCTGTTGCCCCAGCTGGAGTGCAATGGTGAGATCTCAGCTCACTGCAGCCTCAAACGATCCTCCCACCTCGGCCTCCCAAGTAGCTGGGATCACAGGGGTGCACCACTGTGCCCAGCCCCCCAGCATCTCTTAACCACAGAACTCAAGGGTGGCAGTCAAGGGTGACAGGCAAGTGCGGGGCCTGGGGGCACGGCCTCACCGCATGTCTCCACGC